GTCACATTATAACGCCCCCACGGCTGAAAGGGCGAGTATGTTTGGTGGGTAGGGGATTCGAACCCGCGATCCTCAGATTGCGAGTCGAGTGCCGTCAACTTTTGTAACGCCTTATCCACCTGGCCATGCCGGGCCCTCAGATTCTTTGACGTTGAAACATAGAATTCGTTGAGGGTTCCCCCTGTTTCATGATTTTAGGTTCTGACTTTGTCTTCCTACGAAACTGGGGACTAAGTATTATCGAAGTGCACAGAATTATGTTCTAATTGTTGCTAAATATTTATGAATTAATAAAAATCAATTGACCAAAGATTAAGATAATCTCTAAAATGGTAATTTTGAGTTCATAAAAAAATGTGATTTTTTACACTCACGTAAAGACATACTTTTTATTCATTAATTCCCATGTGTCCCCAAATTCATAAAGCCATGAATTATTTTACAAATATGAATTAAAGCTGAGAATATAAATTTAGAAAATGCATCTTGATGTTAATTATTTGTTTGTTTTGAATTTCGCGTAAAGCTACACGAGGACTATCTGCGCTAGCATGATTGGTGGGATGGGGATTCGAACCCGCGACCCTCAGAGTGCGAGTTGAGCGCCCTAACCATCTGGCCATGCCGGGCCTAATTATTACTCATCGCCCTAGAAAAGGCCATTTCAGTACTTTTTTTTTCCTTTTCAAAAGGAAATATACATACTTAGATATTTTTAACTTGAACGCTTTTCCTTATTCGACATATGGGCTGAACGAAGGGATCACAGGTACCCAAAGGTTCAGCATAGCCATCCCTAATTCAGATCAAGAGAGAGAGGGGAACTGGTCAGCAGCGTTCGCTGCCAACATAGTCTTTCTTAAGCAAATGGCAGGACTGACAGTCACAGTTATAACGTCCAGACAGCTGAAAGTTCGGGTGTATTCAGCAGTATATCACTTCTCGAACCTTGGACCTTCAGATTCTTAACATTGCAAGCTAAACACTAGGCTACGCCCAGCTCAAGAGCAAAAACTAAAGATGAACTTTATTTATAAGTATGTAGCAAAAGGAAAACGCTCGAGATTAAGTTTTACCCATTGCTGACAATTGAAGATGTTTAAACAGGGAATGATGTCCGATTAGTGAAGATGTTCTAACAGGGAATGATGTCCGATTTGTGAAGATGTTCTAACAGGGAATGATGTCCGATTAGTGAAGATGTTCCAACAGGGAATGATGTCCGATTAGTGAAGATGTTCCAACAGGGAATGATGTCCGATTAGTGAAGATGTTCCAACAGGGAATGATGTCCGATTAGTGAAGATGTTTAAACAGGGAATGATGTCCGATTAGTGAAGATGTTTAAACAGGGAATGATGTCCGATTAGTGAAGATGTTCCAACAGGGAATGATGTCCGATTAGTGAAGATGTTTAAACAGGGAATGATGTTTCCAAGTGACATCAAAATAATCTTGATGTAGTTTTATTTCCTTGGATTTACCCCAAGCGTAGTTGGGAAAAAAAATTGTATATCCACCCGGATATAAATATTTTAATGAAAATAAGGTTTACAATGCGGTCAGACTATAACAAAACATTTGTATTTTATAAAAAATACCTGCAAATACCAGCTAAGTCAGATATCCAACGTAGAAGTAGAATATTTAACGCAAAGTTATTAGACGTTAAATAGATTTTATTTTGCAGACATGCTTTAACAGGATTGATCATTGCCTGCAACTCATAGCGTGGATTAATTAATGAATAAATACCATACATAGACTTTTAACATGTTAAAAGTTTGTTTATTGCAAGCTTTCACGTGGCTACTGTTTATCTACCATATCTATGTCTGCGAATTTACAACACTAGAAACGGGATTTCGATAGCCCATTGTTTAGCTTTGTTCTTAACTTCAAACAAAACAAACCGATCTTCCATATCGCCAGTCACAAGCGACAAGACTATAGCCAATCCCTCCCCCCCTCTACCGGTAAGTTGGAGAATTTCCATAAGCCTTCAATCATTCCTCAGTATACTGAGACGGATTGTAAAACGATTGTACGTGTATGGGTACTGAAGGTCGAGCAGTTGATTGGTCTGGTAATGTTTGTGGTAAATGTGCGCTTCAGCAATATACTTAATCCATTGATATTTCATTTAAACTTTCTACTAGATGAGACAGGATATAAACGATATTAATATTACCTCGTCCATGCTTAGAGTTGCCAATATGACATTACACAGTGGCATGTAATGAGCAATAATTTTTAAGGTATATCAGAGTCCTAGTGTTTTATTATGAACTTCTGAGGCGGAAAATGGGGGAAAACGCGACATTTGCAGATGGAGGAGACAATCCGGAGAAATATGGTTGAACACTAACCAGTCTATATCTTATAACGGATATTGTGTGGGAACTGGCAACAGGGAATATCGAGTATTATGAATCAGGATATATAAATGGGGGAAGAGGGGACATCGGCATCTCGACGTGGTCGGGATTGTCAGCTGGGAGGGATATGACAATGAAAGATGGTTTTTGCCTGGCAGTTATTTTGATTTGAAAGTAATTATCTCCTAAGAAGTAATTACTAATCAAAGGTGCTCGAAGATTAAACAATCCTCCTTCACCCTGCTCGTGGTAATAGATTACATTTCGTTTCGATAATGAAATATTAGACCAAACCAAGCCTTTATAGTAGTGAGGTATCGAAAATCGAACTGGTGTATTTAAGTGTTTTACACTCACAAAAAAGAAACCTATCATTCCATAGGTATTTGAAAAACTTGTAGCATTCCGCCACAATTTAATTCTTCGTATTGTTAGCCGACACTGGACATCTTGTACATAATTGAGTTTACGATTTACTTAGTTTGACGATTCACAATCGTTTAACTCGCGCCGCAATATTGATAACAAACAAGTAATAGGCCTAGTATGAACTGGTAGTTAAGACACTCTACTCGCAGTCTGAGAGTCGCGAGTATAGGCCTAGTATGAACTGGTAGTTAAGACAGTTCATACTAGGCCTATACTCGCGACTCTCAGACTGCGAGTAGAGTGGTAGTTAAGACACTACTCGCAGTCTGAGAGTCGCGAGTATAGGCCTAGTATGAACTGGTAATTAAGACACTCTACTCGCAGTCTGAGAGTCGCGAGTATAGGCCTAGTATGAACTGATAGTTAAGACACTCTACTCGCAGTCTGAGAGTCGCGAGTATAGGCCTAGTATTGTGTCTTGTGAAAACATATACTAATAGGTAATGTACAACATATTGTATCTTGTGAAAACCTATACCACTAGGTAATGTACAACATATTGTGTCTTGTGAAAACCTATACCACTAGGTAATGTACAACATATTGTGTCTTGTGAAAACATATACCACTAGGTAATGTACAACATATTGTGTCTTGTGATAATCTATACCACTAGGTAATGTACAACATATTGTGTCTTGTGAAAACATATACCACTAGGTAATGTACAACATATTGTGTCTTGTGAAAACATATACCACTAGGTAATGTACAACATATTGTGTCTTGTGAAAACCTATACTACAAGGTAATGTACAACATATTGTGTCTTGTGTAAACCTATACCACTAGGTAATGTACAAAAAGGGCAAAAAGTACACTGAATTTTGGAGTGTCAGATAGCATTATTGCCACAGCCTATAAGCAACACCAAGAGGGAAAGTGTAGCTACCACTCCGCCACCATGTTAGGGTCGCTACTGATGCTTCATAATATAAACCTAACTCCCTGAAGCTAATCCTGCTGAATAATGTAAATAACATTAGGGCTATGTGTGGATTAAGTTTAACACTAAGGCAACTTAGGGAATTTCCAAAATTTGTCGTTGTCTTCTTAGTCCAAAGCTATACAATGGACTATCTGCACTCTCTGTCCTCCGCCTGAAATCGAACCCAGGACTTCAGTGCTGTAAGTCTGCAAACTT